TGATTTCACATTTTTCAAACTTTTGACCGAGAACAGTAAATCTACCGCAAGAATCAAGTTAAATATCTGTATAATAAACTTATTGCAGAAATCAACAAATCACATCACATCTTCCACAAATACAAGCCCCAATGATCTCTGGTTTCCTTTTCCATGCTCACCAAAGGAGCAAGGTAGAGAATGCTCTTAGTGACAAGCTGCTTTCAAACATGCTGCAGTGTAGCCTTGGGTTTTCACCTCATCTAGGAAGAGAAAAGGATATATTCTTCTGAACCTGTGTTAGGTGTATGGTGATTAAATTGTGATTGGACTGAATTCAGTAATGCTGTGTCCCAAGTCATATAGTAAGAGAACAGATCTCTTGTCATTGGAGTGGATTTTATTTCAGTTTCATGAGAAGGGTGAAAAAAGTGAGAAGAAATTTTACTTCTTATATCTCAGTGATTACCAGTTGCTAATGTTTTGTTTTACAGAATTTGATATTTTATTAAACAGATAAGAAAAAAAACAAGAGAAATGTAACATGAAAAATGTATCATTATATACAATGCTTATTATTTCTGTATAACATTTTGAGTGGCCTCATATAAAAAGAGATTTAATGCTTGGAACATTCTAAAATCTAAAAGGTCTTATCTCATGCTTAGCTAATTATTTTGACAGGAGTCTAACTGATGTGTGCTTTTCCATGCAAATGAGTTTGTGGCAAACAAGATGACTGCCATCTATATAAACACTCCATAACTAATTCTTATCTCCACACAGAGATTAAGTAGTGAAAGTTAGCAATTAGAATTCAGTGACAGTGTTTTCCTCTGCAATTGATTAGTAGACAGGCTATAAACAGTTCTACCGATTATTTTCTTTTTGGAACTCCAGACTACTCACTCTATCTTCTGTGTGTGTTTGTATTTTTTGTCTCTTGAGCATCTACTCTGTTTTGATACATACTCTTCTTTAGATCACCAGGTTAATTTTCCAGTTTGGTTCCCTTTCCTGCTGATCCTTTATTATTAATTCCTTTCCTGGTTTTTATTTTTTCACAGATACTCTTAATTGACAGTGGGGCCAAAAACTCAATCCCTAGTTCTCAATTTCTGTAAACTGCCTCTTATGAAAATTAATCTACTTTCGCTAAATGATGATGCTAAAATCTCTATCTCTGGCTCCCAATTTGTTCAACTACCCTTAGAGTGTTTAATTTAGATATAGGGAATCTCTTCATCAACACATTCCAAACGCCTCATGTTCCTTTGAAAATTTGCAGATTTTTCTATTTCCATCCATGATACTGTCATTCCCTACACTATCTTGTCTTAAAATTTTGATATATTATTAACTTTTTCAATTTTCCCTCTTTACATTTTCAAACAAGTATTTATTTTTAATTTTTCCTAATAATGCCTTTGTTTCCTTTATTTTTTATCCTTCTGCAACTACCTCATTGTATGCATTCATAAATTTGTGCCAGGAAATCTGAATTTTTATTTGTTTGTTTTATTTGAAATTTGTTTTATTTGAAAAATAATTCTATTTGTTGTATTTTTTTATCTCTATTCCTCTATTATGAATCCATTTTACTCATTACCTCAAGGAAATTTCTTCTGAAACCTGACTACTTTCATCATATTACCTACCAGTTCAAAATCATCAGCTGATACCATACTTTTCTAGATCAAATCCTGCCTATTGCAGGAATTTGATAATATCCATAACCCTACTAATTTACCTCTCTTATTTGAGCCTTGATAGTCCTTAACAAGCTCTTCACACTTTACTCATCAAATGTATTACTTTTCACTTAATTCAGTCATTTTCTTAGGCTTACAATTTTCTCTGTTTTATTTAGCTGATTATAGTCCACCTTACAGAGCTCAGCTCAGATCACACTTTGTCTCCACACTCAAGTCCTATGATGTCCACTTCCTGGAACCAGAGGATTAGTTACAGCACTTTTCAGATGCTGTATGTAGAGTCTGCTATAAGCTTTTAGGCTTTTTGCTTCACTGTGTTCATAGCTTTTTAACATATACAGTTTCTGTTTATGTACAGATCTATTCTTTTTGTGAAATGATTTATGGAAGTTTATTTTAACAAAGTGTATGGGTATTACTAGGAAAGTGGCATAAAAAAGAATACAATTATAGAGAAAATCTAGTTTGTTTTTGTGGTTAATTTTATGTGTCAGCTTGACTGGGCTACAGAGTGCCCAGACATTTTGTCAAGCATTATTCTGGGTGTTCCTGCGAGGGTGTTTCTGGATGAGATTCACATTTAATAGGTAGGACTGAGTAAAGCAGATTGTTCTCCCTAATGTGGGTAGGTCTCACTCAGCCAGCTGAAGGCCTTAATAGAACAGAAAGTCTGTCCCTCTACTGAGTAAGAGAGAATTCTCCTGCCTGACTTCTTTCAGACCAGGACATCAGCTTTTTTTTCTGCCTCTGAAGTTGAACTGTAACCTTGGCTCTTCCTGCTTATCAAGCTTGCCTTCCTCTGGACAGAGACTAAACCATGGGCTCTCCTGGGTCTCCAGCCCACTGACTTACCCTGCAGATCTTGGGACTTGTCAGCCACCATAATGGTGTGAGCCAATTCCTTATAATGTGTCTTTTTCCAAATGTATATACATTTTCTTTTGGTTCTGTTTTGAAAACACTGAGATGTAGATTGGTCTTGCCTATCTGACTTGCATGGCTAGTTACTATGCTATGAATGAAGCAAGAGAAACAGAAAAAATACAACACACTGGACCTACCTTCTGGGGCATAATGGGCTCTAGAAAAACCAAAGGAACAATAAGTCCTAGCCTCATTTTGTCACTCATAGACTGTGTAACCTCCATAAAGTCAATGAAGGTTTCTGAATTTGAGTTTTTCATGTGCAAAATGATGATACCATCTGGCTTTTGGTCTCTCAGATTGGTTTTGTGTGAAGAAGATATCTCAATGGCAAACACTTTTATGACTGTTAAATATTCATAAATAAAATTATCATTACTATTACTATTCTTAATAAAGATATTTCTCCTATCACATTACATAAAAAAAAAAAACTTTTTAGAATCCCAAATTGTCAAACATGCCAATGGTGTAACAGAATTCCAACAAAAGCACAGAAATACCTCATTCATATTTATCATGATTCCACAAGGGAAAAGTGGAAAAATATTTCAAAGCCAGACCTCCTTCAAGCTGTGAGATGTATTAACATAGTATCTCAAATAGCATTAGGCAATTTGGAAGTATACTAGAATATATTACATATCAGGAGGCAAATCAGCCAACCAATGTATTTTAGGTTGAAATTCTCACTGGGGCCATAATTTAAAGCTTGGTACTCAGATGGAACACACACACACACACACACACACACACACACACACACACAGAGTATAATACTGTTAAGTGTCCTTTCCTTACAATAAAATTGAAAAGTACTTACGCATGCTAGTTTTAGTGTAATAATTACATGCACCAGATATTTTAAAGTATTCACAAAGCAACATATGGCTTAGCTGTTCAGCTGCAGTGAAAATGTGGATTTTTAAGAATAAAAATTAGTTTGAAAAGCAGCAGGCAACAGTAATCTCGAATCCCCTGTATACCCGTAAAATGGTGAAACCATCTGTACTATGTGCACGCTGATGACCTTGAATTAATTCTAGCAATGTCATTACCCAATTAGTTGAGGAAGGAAAGATACTTGGGAATTACAATTACAGATCCATTAAAATTTTGCAATGCTTTTATTCTCAAATATTTATTAAATCACATCTGTCTGATAATCATTATATGATGATTTTTTTTTTTTTTACCTAAAAGAGACTAAGTTTGCTAGGTAAAAGAGTGGGTCAGCTCTAAATGATATAATTATGTTACTTGAGCATACTTCAAGCATGTCTGTCTTTAAAAAACTAAAATAATGATACCTCATTTTTAGTCTCATGACTACTTAGATGACAATGCCTTTAAAACATTTTTGTTAGAATAATCTCCTCAGTTATAATAAACTATTTTTTAACTAAAGAAAAATACAAATATTCATTCCAAATTAGGTAGTAATTTTATGTTTTTCCAATCTACATGTTGTTATTTGATAGAGACTCTGCTGTGGCCCTGGGGGTCATGTGAAAGAAACTAATAATTCTTGCACAATAAGCACAGTTGTATTTTTGCTGTTTTAAAATGAAAAAGTAAAGTTTTTTTAGGGGTCTTAAGACAGGAATTTTCTACACACTGATAATCAGCGTAAAAAAAAGAGAAGTTTTGTAGATAGCTATTTGTCCTCATTATTTCATTTAAGAAGGCTTTTCAAAAGCATGTGATTTGCACATAAAACCTTACATGTGGAGGAAAAGAATATTTGTAAAATTTATGAACACAATATAGATGAATATGTAGTGTGTTAATATTAACACTATGTACAAATGCTGAGCAATGTTAATTATACCTTGATTGGAAAGATAATAAAATTAAAATATTAAAAACTCTTGTTTTTAACATGATATAAAAAGTTTTTTGAAAATTGTCATTAGTCTGTATTTTTGATTTTTTTCTAGTAACATTTTCTCTTCATGTAATATTATTGTTAGATGGGACAAATTCTTCTTCTTCTTCTTTTTTTTTTTTTTTTTTGAGACAGAGTTGAACTCAAGTGATCTCCTGCCTTAGCCTCCCTTCCAAGTAACTGGGACTATAGGAATGCACCACCATGCCTGGCTAATTTTGTTTATTTTTTGTAGAGATGGGGTCTCTACAAGCTGGTCTCGAACTCCTGGGTTGAAGAGATCCTCCGGCCTCAGCCTCCCAAAATGCTGGGATGACAGTTATAAGCCATCACGCCCAACTGACGTTCATCTTTTTAATGTGTATATTTGACTCTATGATTACCTTTAGTTGAAGAGCAATAAATAGTGGCTTTTAAAAATACAAGTATTCATTTATTTTAAAATAGTTATTAACTGTTTACATCACTATAGTCACCGTTCTATGCATTTGCAGATATAGCTGAGAACAATATAGAGAAGAAAAAGCACCGGAGGAGAACCAAGAACAACTAGCATCCCAGCAGAACGTATTTGATGAAAGAAGTTATAAACTAATCAAGCAATGTTCACAGGTCTGGTTAAATGAGCCTTGAGAACTGACTGCAGGATTTAATACAGTAGAGATTACTGGTGACCTTGACAACAAGACTGTTAGCAGAGTGCTGGTGGTAAGTGATCATTCTACAATGATTTTTATACTTTGTCCAGAGGTTATATTAATATTTACCTATACAAGGGTAAGTCCAGTAAAAGCTATACCACCATTACTACTTTTTCCTTATTTTTTATAGTAATGATTAGTAGTATCTCTATGGTCATTAGTATTTGCTAGTACATACTAAAGTATAAAGATTGGATCTATAAACTAGTACATATTTTATGGAAAAGATATTTAAAAAATAAGATGCTTTTTGATATACACTGAGATATTTGAGATTGCATTAAGTACAGTAGGCTGATTAAGAGAAATAAAATTTTGGTTAAGTGAAATTTAGCCTACTAGTCAAATTTAAGCAAAATTTATTTATTTAAGCAAAATTTAGTCTCTAATACAAATACTTTCATCCGGCAAATATACCATTAGGAGAAACTATTGATTTATAATTGACTTGATTTCTCTTTTAAGTATTCATTTATAAAAAATCAAATAATTTTCAACTATAATTATTTAAATAAGGCTATCAGTTACAATACAAAATAAACTTTGACTGAGAACTCATAAAATGTGAAATAAGTGTTGTCTCTGATTAGATAAATTAAATGAAATAAAGCCAGATGAAGAAAATAAAATCTGCTCCCAACAGTACATGGTGATAAACACAAAGAAAGTCTAAAAGATTCAGAAATCTTTGAGAAAGAAGAATTACAAAATTAGAATTGTGAAATTTTTGAAGTGGACTAGATATATTAGCATGAAGTACTCTTTATAGTCATTAATCTACTAATTAACATTAAGTGATTTTTCAAAAATAAATTTTCAATTTTGCATTTTAAACTTATTTTTATCTAAATAATTTAGCCCTAGAGTTTTAGAACAAGTTATTTCTATCTTCTGAATATTCCATATTTTTTATTTCAACACTTCCTGATCTTTGTTCCTGGGCTCCCGAGAACTTCTTCCAGGTCAACCACTAGTTTAATCTCAGATTTTATTTGCAAGCCATCCAAAGTAAATCTTTTTTCACTGGGATCTGAGTAGATTGATATAAATTCCCAACCTCACTGTCAAGATCAACTATATCGTATTATTTTTCTTATTTTATAAAAGGAAGTTGCAAGGCATGGCACTGCACCTTCACAGTGTTGCTGAATTGGAATATTGAATGACTTGTTCTAATCTTGCACATCATGCCTATAACACTGCACTGTTACATCAATAGTCAACTCCAGCTGAGCCTGGAAATATGAGAACCTCACAGCAAGCAGTGTTTACCCTACACCGCTGTGAAGTTCACTCTTTACCCAAAGCTTCTATGGCACCCCAAGTTGGAGGTGTAAAATATAACTCTTCCATCATTTTTCCCCCTAAATTGTGTCTACTTTGCCATTTTGACAGCCAAATGTCCCACAAAGGATTTAAAGGTCAGAATTTCAAAGATTTCAGAGGAAATGTGTCTCCCTTCTCTTTCTCTAGGCAGCTTTTATTGTACATCTGGAGCTCTGGATGTTTTATTTTGTAAACCTCTGGCACACATTTTCTTCTGTGTTGTAGCCAACCACATGCTGTTATTCCATGCTAGGGAGGAAGAAAGGAGTCCTGGCTCCTTCTGGTATGAGTCTTTTATGACTTAAATACTCCCATGTCTGAGTATAGCAGCCAAAGTTCATTGTTGTTATATTTCCAGATTACACATGCATTTATTAATAATTTTTCGGTCAAATACTGGGAATTGGAGCAGAAAAGAAGGAAGACATTGGGGATGTTTTTGGGGCAGAGTTAGTAAAGATTTGGGCTAGCAATGCTTTCTTGAAGAAAAAGTAAGGAGCCTGGGTATTGGACAAATGTTTTTCACATTGTGAATTTTATAAAAAAAAAAAAAAAAAGAACTAAGATGGAACTAAGTTCAAATTATTATTTAACAAGTACATTTCAGATCTACTATGTGCCAGGAACTCTAGGAAGTTCTGAGTAAAAATTAGTAATAAAAGAACATTATCTTGAATATTTGATAGAAATTAATTACTAATATAATTTAGAGGCTTGAGTCACAGGGTGAGAAAAAAATTCTTTACTATGATTCTGACTATACTCACCCAGTTCCTCCATTCCTCAAAGATCTCTTGCTCTGAGCATAAGAGCTGAAGTTTCCAATGCATGTAACCCTTCCCAGCCACTTTTAAGTCAAAGGATATATTTGTCAAAGGATATGCTTGATGATCTGTAGGAGAGTTTGTTATTGGGTTTCATGTATTGGAATATCATATTTTTAAACCCATCCATTTTTTTCTATGTTAGTTTTTCTAGTGTTTTTAAAGGCATTTTTGTCTTTTACATTTACAACACAGTGAGTCATAATATGAAGAGTATAGTGAGTAAAATATGCCTAAAATTAGGAAAACTTAAATTATGTTATTTTCCCCTGAAACTGATTCTGCAGTAAGTCACTAGGGGATAGTAAATTTCTCAATGAAATCCTTAAACTTTAAATCAGAACACAAATAAGCTGAGACTTATTTTAAAATTCAGAGTCCACATAAAAATATGCAATGGTTATTGGTTAATTGGAAATAAATAATTGATTAATAAAAAAATCATAGAGTCCCCAATCTCCAAAAGAAAAGCAAAAACAAAACAAAACCAAATAATAACCCCAAAATATACAAGTCACTTTTACCAAATAGGGAGGACAAAAAGTAAGTTCAATTTTAAGAAAACCTCAGAACTATTTCTCTTAATGTATGTCAAAAACAATTCCTTTCTTTCTGAACAAATACATTAGCTATGCAACCCATTACTTTGGCAATTTGAAAGCAGCTCACAATAGATAAGGAGATGGAAATGGGTGGATAATCTCATCCAGAAAAGAAATCCACAGTATAACTCTTGTAATTTAACATAATACTTCATAGAAAGATAGAACAGAGGAATCATAATCATATCATTGCCCCTTTACTTTGGCCTGTACTTTACATAAACCTTAACAAATTGATTTTCCTACTGTCAATGCAGGGTTTCAAACAGATAACTTTATGGTGTAGGTTTTATTAATGTTCATCTTAAAATATGAATCAAATAGGAGTTGGCTAGAATTGGAATTATGCACAGCAGTATTTTTAGGAAATAAATGGCGATTTTTAGCTTTGTATCCTCATCAAATAAAAAAAATAAAAAAGAATCTAGAAGATACAGTGAGCTTTGACTACAGCAGACATATTGAAAACTTTTGCAAACTCTTTTACAGTCTTAAAATATTTTTGAGCACCACAAAAAGCTTTTATTCACACGAGTTATAACTATTATTTATTGTGTTGAAAATTTTGAAGTACTTATTTAAAAGGAATATTTGTTTATGATAACATAAATATACATTTTAAATAAAATTCCTCTTTTCTAAAAAAAACTAGTAATAAAATACATTTTAAAATATTTTCACAAATCTCTTTAATGTATGGTGTCATAGAAGACATAATGGTGCTATGGTCTGAATGTTTGTGTCCCCTCTAAATTTGTATGTTGAAAACTAATGCCCATGTGATACTATTAGATGGGGCATTTGGGAAGTGATTAGGTAATGAAAGCTCCTAATAAGAGCACCAATAAGATATGTATTTTTCTCAGATTGATAAAGCTATGATAGCTTTATTTTGGTAGAGTTTGCATGAGTTAGTGATTTTAATTCATTTAAATAAATTTTTTGGTATATCTTTATGTTTCAGATGTATCTGTTACAAATAAGCTAAAAAGCTGAATTTAAATTGTTTTATGCATACTGGTAACTTTCCGTTCTTTGCTTTTTAATGAGATAATTTGTTTTATTTACATTTAAGGTAATTATTATCTGTGCTTAAACTTACCATTTTAATAGTCATTTTTTCTTTGCTTTACATGTTCTATGGTTATTTATACTTTTCCTTTAGATTTATGTTTTATTAATTTATTTCCCCTTCTGTAAACTATTAATTATATGATATTTTATATATTTAGCAGTTAACATAGATATTTAACAAGCATTTTAAGTTATTAAATTCCAATATAAATAGAATCTTTTTCTTCTTATACAAAAACAAAGACTTAAAACATTTTAACTCTGATTACCTTCTGTCCTTATTTTTATGGTCTTATTATATATTTTAACTCTACATTTTAAAACTGAAAGGACATTAATAGTACTCTTATATATTGTCAATGTTAATCTAATTTGCTTATAGATTTTTCCTTTCTTAAATATTTTTTTCTTTCTGTATCTCTAAGCTAAACTCATTGAGAATTATTTCCATTATACTTAAAGGGAATTTGTATATGTTCAACATTATCTCACATCACTCTCTTTCTTCATCATGACTTGTAGATATTTTATTTTGGTATATCTTCCAGTTCACTTATTCTTTTTTTGACCGTGGCTAATCTAATGTTAAAATAATCCATTGAACTATTGTTTTAGCTTAAAGTTATTTTATTTTTAGTTCTTTATGATTTGTTTATAATTTCTAATTTCCTGTTTGAATTCTTAATTGTGTCTTTTAATTCTATGAACATATTCAGCATAGTTATTTTCAGAATTTCTACTAATAATTTCATTATCTGAGTCATCTGTGGTACTGTTTCTATTGTCTTTTGCTTTTACAATTAAAAAAAAAATGTCTGTATAAAGACATTACCAGTTCTGATTGACAGCCAGTCACTGTGTATAAAAGTTGTAGAAATATTTGAGGCTAAGGATAATAGTATATTCCTCTACTGAAGAAGGAAAAAATAGCTTTAGGGGTAAGAATCACTATTTTCTAATTTTAACAATTGAGATCATTTGAAACTTTCGTCCCTACTAGAGACTAAATCCAGTTCCTCTCCCTGTATGGATCCAAATTAATGAGTGGGTAGGTTATCAGATGTCCCACATATTGGCAAGTTCTGGGCCCAAATTTACAGCCAGCCTTACTATGCTGTCCAAATTGCTGCTCAGACTCTTGAAGTTAACTTTTGTGTAATCCACAAATACCCATGGATGAT